GCGAACGGGGCGATTGGGTGGGCCGTTCGGCTCACGCGCGGGGCCGGGCGGGGGCTGCAGGGGGGGCAGGGGGGGTGGGGTCAAATTTCGCGCTCCAAGAACTCGTGCAGGTGCAACTGCCACAAGGGAGCGTCCCCATCCCCCACTGCCCCCATCGCCCCCACTGCAGCCCCAGCCTGGCCCCGCGCGTGCGCAGAACGGCCTACCAAATCGCCCGTTTCGCACCAAAGCCCCCAGACTCGCGCATGCGCAGAGCCCCCGAAGGGAGACCTCCCCGCCTCACCCCAACTCCGACTCAGGGTGCAAGCGGCCCCCACTGACCCATCCCCCGACTTCAGCCTCGGGCGCCGCGTGACCCCCGTCGCCAGGCCCGGTAGCGAGCCCGCACCGCCAGCCGTACCTTCCGCTGGAGCTCCCAGGCGCTGATGTAGTTCTTGCCCAGCTGCGCCGCCAGCAGATACTCGCCATTGAGCAGCGCCAGGCCGCGGGGTCCCGCCTGGCCGCCGCGGTAGGTGAGCAGGTTGGCGCCCGAGTGCAGCTCCCACACGATGCAGCTCCACAGTGGGGCCGCCGAGTCCGTACACACGGCCACCTCCATGGGCGCCGCCATCTTGCTTTTCCCGCCGCCCCGACCGTGCGTCATCACCAGCGAGACGCGGACGACTGCGCCACGCGGGCCAGAGCGACGCCTCCGCGGCCCCTTCGGCTGGCCTCCCGCGCATGCGCCCGTGCCTCGGAGAGGAGGCTTCCCTGTGGAATGGGATTTCCCTCCTAGAGCTGAGATTCCCAGAGTTGCACGACCCGGCTGGAGATCTGGGGAGGCGACTTCTTCCAAGGCCCAGGGTCTCCGGCGATCAGTTAGTAGCTCTAGAGCCGGGGTACCTGACTTGATCTTTTCCTCCTGGGCATTTTTGGCCAAGTGACTCAACCTCTTAAATTTTTTTTTTTTCCCCCGAGACGGAGTTTCGCTCTTGTCGCCCAACCTGGAGAGCAATGGCGCGATCATGCTCACTGCAACCTCCGCCTCCTGGGTTCAGGCGATTCTCCTGCCCCAGCCTCCCGAGTAGCTGGGATTACAGGCACCCACCACCACCCCTGGCTAATTTTTGCATTTTTAGTAGAGACAGGGGTTTCACCATGTTGGTCAGGCTGGTCTCGAACTCCTGCCCTTAGGTGATCCACTCGTCCTGGCCTCCCAAAGTGCTGAGATTACAGGCTTGAGCCACTGCACCCAGACCATTCTTTTATTTTTAAATGTGCAAATAATAAAGTTCGGGTGTCACAGACCTAAACGACACAGTGCACCTAAAAGACAACACACCTAGCAACCTGGCTAGTTGGTGATAAATACATTGGAATTCACTGCTTCCTTATTTATTTTCGTAGAGCCGAGGTCTTGCTGTCCTGCCCAGGCTGGGCCTCGAACTCCTGAGCTCAAGTGATCCTCCCCGCTTGGCCTCCCAAAGCGCTGGGATTGGAGGCAGGAGCCATTGTCCCCGGCCCAGTGCTTCCTTATTAGTTGACATCTGCCTCCCCCTTGACCTCTCTTTGGGAGCGTCCGCATCTAAATTTTTAGTTGGATAAGCCACCAGTTCTGTCTGAGTCGAGCAGGGTCTAACCTCTTGTCACCGGTGTGGTGGCTCAGGTCTGTAACCCCAGCACTTTGGGAGGCCGAGGTGGTGGATCACCTGAGGTCTGGAGTTTGAGACCAGCCTGGTCAACATGGCGAAACCCCTTCTTTACAAAAAAAGTACAAAAATTAGCTGGGCGCGGTGGTGCGCCCCTATCATCCCAGCTACTCAGGAGGCTGAAGCAGGAGACTCCCTTGAACCCTGGAGGCGGAGATTGCAGTGGACTGAGATTGCACCACTGCATTCCAGCCTGGGCGAATGAGACTCTGTCTCAAAGAAAAAAATATATGTATTATTTATTCATATTAAATATATATGGTAGAAATGGGGGGCGTCTCACTATGTTGCTCAGGCTGGTCTCAAACACCTGGGCTCAAGCCTTGACCTCCCAAACCGCTGGAATTACAGGCTTGAGCCCCAACATCTGGCCTAAAAACACTATGTTTTAAAATGTGGAAATAGCTGGCAACCCCTTAAAAAGGGAGCATTCGCCGGGTGCAATGGCTCACACCTGTAATCCCAGCACTTTGGGAAGCCGGGGTGGGCGGATCACCTGAGGGCAGGAGTTTGAGACCAGCCTGACCAACATGGTGAAACCCCCGTCTCTACTAAAATTGCAAAAATTAGCCAGGTGTGGTGGCGGGTGCCTGTAATCCCAGCTACTTGGGAGGCTGAAGCATGAGAATCGCTGAATCCAGAAGGCAGAGGTTGCAGTGAGCCGAGATCAGGCCACTGCACTCTAGCCTGGGCAGCAGAGTGCACTCAGCAGAGTGCACAACACTCCTCCGAATAAATAAAATAAAATAAAATGTGGACTTAGTTGCCAGCCCCCTAAAAGGGGAGCATTCTCCAGGCGCGGTGGCTCAAGCTTGTAATCCCAGCACTTTGGGAGGCTGAGGCGGCTGGATCACCTGAGGTCAGGAGTTCGAGATCAGCCTAGACAACACAGTGAAACCCTATCTCTACTAAAAATACAAAATTAGCCAGGCGTGGTGGCACATGCCTGTCGTCCCAGCTACTCGGAGGGCTGAGGCAGGAGACTCACTTGAACCCGGGAGGTGGAGGTTGCAGTGAGCCAAGTTCGCTCCATTGCACTCCAGGCTGGGCAATAAGAGCTAAACTCCGTCTCAAAAAAAAAAAAAAAGCATTCGTTTAAAAATCAGGATTTCCGCCCAGGAGATGTTGTGGGCTCTAGAGCATCAGGAGGCAGGAATGGGTGCTGGATGCGGGGTGCTGGGTCCGGAGGCTGAGGGCGCGGCCCGGGCAGCAGGCAGGTTTCTGAGCCGCTGGCCGCCAGGTGGCAGGCACGAGCCACCGATCCGAGGCCCTCCTGGGGTCCAGGCCAGAGGGACGGTGTCCCCGGGGACCTGCCTGGTCCGCAGGAGGGGTTTTCAAAGGAGGCGCCCTATGGGCAGGGAGCTGACAACCCCAGAGAACCGTGCGCTGGCCAGGCCCGTGCAGATGCGCTGGGGCAGGACCACAGAATGGGGCTGCATGGTGCAGGGCCTGTGAGTGAGGCCTGGATTTTGTTTTTCCTGGAGGGGACAGAGGGGGGTCCAATCCTAGGACCTGCGATGCCTCCAGTCTCCCCCAGCAGTATGCTTGTTTCATTTAGTGATGTATTTATTTTGAGATAAGTCTCTCTCTGTCACCAGGCCGGAGCACAATGGTGCCAGCTCGGCTCACTGCCACCTCTGCCTCCTGGATTCAAGCGATTCTCCTGCCTCAGCCGCCAGAGTAGCTGGGATCACAGGTGCACGCCGCCACACCCGGCTGATTTTTTGTATTTTTAGTAGAGACGGGATTTCTTTCTTTCTTTCTTTCTTTTTTTATAAAGACGGTTTCACCAAGTTGGTCAAGCTGGTCTTGAACTCCCGACCTCCGATCCGCCCACCTTGGCCTCCAAAGTGCTTGGATTACAGGCGTGAGCCACCGCGCCCGGCCGAGACGGGGTTTCACCATATTGGTCATGCTACTCGGGAGGCTGAGGAAGGAGAATCGCTTGAACCCGGGAGGCGGAGGTTGCAGTGAGCCGAGACAGCCACGGCACCCCAGTCTAGCGGTAGAGCAAGACTCCATCCATCCCCGCCACCCTAAAAAACACCAACTTTTTTTTTTAGACGGGGTCTGACTCTGTCCCCCAGGCCGGAGTGCAGAGGTGTGCTCAAGCCATCTCCTACCTCAGCCTCCCAAGTAGGCACCACACTCAACTCATTTTTTGCTTTTGTTTTTTTGCAGAGATGGGGTCTTGCTTTGTTGCCCAGGCTGGTCTGAAACTCCTGGGCTCAAGCGATCCGTCCACCTCGGCCTCCCAAAGGGTTGGAAGTACAGACGTGAGCCACTGTGCTTGGCCCTGTTTTAATTTTAATTTTATTTATTTATTTTTTTTTGTAGACAAGCAGGAGAGGTGGGTTTCACTCTATTGCCCAGGCTGCTTTTTTTTTTTTTTTTTTTTGAGATGGCATTTCACCCTGTCGACCAGGCTGGAGCGCAGTGACGCCATCTCACTTTGACCTCTGCCTCCCGGGTTCAAGCAACTTTCCTACCTCAGTGTCCTGAGTAGCTGGGATTACAGCATTCCCCACCACGCCCAGCTAATTTTCGTATTTTTAGTAGAGACAGGGCTTCACCATGTTGGCCAGGCTGGTCTCAAACTCCTGACCTCAGGTGATCCACCTGCCTCGGCCTCCCAAAGTGCTGGGATTACAGGCTTGAGCCACCGCGCCCGGCCTCCTTTTTTTCATTTTTAATTTTTCTTACAGAGTCTGGCCCCGTCGCCCAGGCCGGACGGCAGGGGCGCATCACAGCCCACTGCAGCCTTAACCCCCAGGGCTCACTCGATCCTCCCACCTCAGCCTCCTAGGTTGCTGGACTGCAGCCAACTTTATACGTTTTTGTAGACAGGGGCTCTTGCCACGTTGCCCAGGCTGGTCTCGAACTCCTGGCTTTAAACCATCCTCCTGCCTTGACCTCCCAAGCGGCTAGGATTATAGGCGTGAGCCACCACGCCTGGCCTGGCCTGGAAGATTTTAAACTCCCGGGTTCCAGGACACCCAGCAGGCCGGGAAGGTGTGGCCTGCCAAGGAGGGGAGAGGGCCCAGGGCGGCAGCGGGCGGACAGACAGACTGCAGTCTCCAGCTCCCCACAGGCCTCCTGCTGCGGCCCAGCCCAGGCCAGGCCACGGTTTTCCTCCCCTCCTCCCCTCCTCCCCTCCTCCCCTCCTCCCCTCCTCCCCTCCTTCCCTCCCCGGGGACAGGACGCTGCCAGGCCAGGCTGCAGTGTGAGGTCAGAGGTTACCCCACCCCCAGCCTGGTTCCTGGAATGAGGACAGACCAATTGTGTTGACGCAGAGGCACCGAAGCCACACTTTGGGGGCATTTCTAGACCACCCGGCGGTCGGATCCCCTTAGCGACAGCTGGGAGGTTGTTGTGGGGGGGGGAGTAGCCAGGAAGGGGAAACTGAGGCATGAGGCAGGACCGTTCCCCTCGGGTGTAAGGCCCTCCTCCACCCCCTGCATATTTGTGGAGCTCACCGCAGGTCTTGCAGGCACTGACGAACCCAGCCTGACCCCGGCCGTCCTGGCCGCCCCGTCCCGGCCCCACAGACCTGTCCGGCAGCTCCCGTGGCAGCCCGGTCATTACCTGTGCCGTGGGGAGACGCCGTGGCTCCAGCAGCCCTCTGTGTTTTCAGCGTTTCAGCCGCCGCCTCTCTAGGCTGGGCCCTTGGCTGGCTCCGAAAATCTGCTATTTCACCTCCAGGAGCCTCCTGCCTTCCTAGCAAGCACCTAGTAGGTGGCCCCGTGGCCCAGGGAGGTGGCTGGGCTCTGAGAGGCTTCAGGGTAGCTGGGACTCCCTGGACTGGGGAGGAGGTGGGGGCCTGAGTCCCCCCTGGCTGGGGAAGAGTGAGGGGCTGAGTGCCTCCCTGATTGGGGAGGAGGTGGGGAGCTGGGTCCCTCCCTGGCTGGGGAAGTGAGGGGCACACCCCCTCTCTGACTCCCCATCTCTGAAGCCCTCAGCTGTGGGTGAACAAGCAGAGCCTGGCGATCCAGTTTGTGGGGGCGCTG